CAACATAATGATAATAAATATATTATATAATTGTAAAAGTAAAAAGAATTAAAAATTACATTCATTCAATAAATTATAGATAAATATTATGGAAAAAAGGATTCGAATGAGCGAAAAAACTAAGTGCGAAATCTCTAAAAATACATGGATGAAATGTTATGTTAAACACGATGATATAGGCGAACTTGTAACTCTTGAAAGCGTTCGATACGTTCTTCGACCTGCACAACATTCGATGGAGATCAGTGAACATTTATCACGAAAAAAAATCCATAACAAATACACTGAAATCATGTGTATACCTCCCGCATTTTATCTTCATGCTGCTGAAGGTGTTCCTCCTCTATCCTTTTTTCTTCCTCCAGCTGTTCTCTAGCTTCATTGATCGATTTTTGCAAACTCTTTCTTCTCTTTCTCTTAAGGTAATCCTTTTTTGATTTTACGGAAAAAATTGGGGATTTGCTGGTCGTAAGTTCGGGTGACTCTTGGAATCCCGAACTTTCTTCTTCCGATGAGTATGAATCATTTTGTGATGACGAAGGGCCAGCGTAGTTGCGAGTAATGAGGTCCACGCGTTTTTCCCTGTCCCAAACAATTTGACCAGTCGACGCAATTTTGAAATAACGTATTCGATGAAACTGAAAAATTAAGTGATCTTGAGTTGGGCCACTTAATTAATTAGCACCTTCACGTGTGCAAATTACCGGAATTTCATCTTCTTCGAAGTCTCTCCCGGTTGCTTCCATTATGCCCAGAAACCTCTAAGAAAATAGATGCCATAGCATTAAAACCTCCGAGTATTTTTTTAACATAATTGCTTTGGAAATACCCACATCCTCGTAACCGATGATGAAATCACCCCCAGGGATAACCTCTTCGTCCCATTTCAAACGTTTGTAAATTTCGTGAGCAGGTTTTAGGCGCTGCATCGAAGCTTTTCTCAAAGAAATTAATTTCGGGATTAAACTTTACGCGCAGTCGTGCATCTTTCAATTGTAAGTGTTACACGAGGATCATAAAATTAATTCATCTAATTGTGGTCATGATAGGAAAAAAATGCCACGCAAGTCAAAAGCAGGGACTGACAGTGAAACGTCGTCGTCGATTACTTCTTCCGTTTCAACTAGGCTTCGCTCCGCAAACAGAAAGGGCACGCATAATGATACTCCGAAGTCGACCCCAACCAAAGAATCAGCCAAAAAGAAGTCCCAAGAGTTATCGCTATCAGAACGTGCTTCGACAGAAAAGTCCGTTCCCGAAGAAACTTTGAATTCGAAAAGCGTCGTTGAGAAGGTTGACGACATGCTGGAGACCGAGACTTCAGTGTCAACAACAACGAAGTATATTTCTGAATTGCAAGAAGTAAACAAGAGAACCTTGAAAGAGGTCGCCGAACAGGAAAAAGTGACGGGTAAAATATCGGAATCCTCCTCGGACGACGATGCAGCACCCGAAGAGGTTTCAATGAACACGAGCAAGGTTCATGAGTTGGATGCTCAAAAGCGAAAGCGAGCGATCACGCAAAGGTATTTTATTGCCATTCGATTCTCATGTGCTAAAAGTAGACGTTACTCACAAAGAATAGACTCGTAGAGGAGAAGAAACAAAGACGTCGTCAACTCGATCTGAAATATAAAGAGCAAAGAAATCGAAAGCTGGAGGAGTTGGAGAAAAACGTTCAGGTGGATGCACTTTTTGGTGATCAATTTGACTCGAGCAGGAGAAAGGAATTGGAGGTCGAGGTTCAGGTGATTACACCCTCGGATGAATTGCCCACACCCTTACCTCAGAAAATATTAGAAAACTTGGAAATCGAAGAGAGGTCAGGGTGAAGTTTATATAAGCTGACTTGGCGTGTCTAGACGAATTCTCAAGTTGGGATGCTTAATTTAATTTAGAAGGAATGCATCAAGACCGAGTAATGTCACGAAGGAGAGTAACATTAGGAATAGTGAACCTCCTCGGAAGAAAAAAAGGAAAAAGGATAATGATACCGGGTAATCTGAAATTTATGCACTTTGTCTCCCACTTGCTCATTATTAACGATACGCAATCAACACATATATACATACAGACCGTTTACCGTCGTTGTCATAGACCGCGATCAGCCTAATGCTATCAGTAGGGAGGTTGTTGAATTCCGAGAAAATCATTTTTACGGAGACAGATTACCACGAAAGAATGGTCAGTTTGCATTCTAATGTTCTTGTCATTCTTAATTCTCATCATCACATCACTATATATATACATATGTATATGCGTATACGTGTATCTTGTATAATAGCTATCTTAAATGCAAGTCAGGCAAGAAACGGCGCGGCATTACGATTTAGGAGGAGATAACTTTTATTGGGCAACTCTTTTCTTTTTTGTTACTGTCACGTGATGAATAAATTTAGAGGTTATTTAACCGATGGTGGGACAAAAAAAAAAAAAAAATAACTTAAAAATTTATTCTAAAAATAAATCTATCAAATAAAGTCCGTCAACAGATTGATCTCACTTAACAGATGAATTTACACCTCACCGAATCAACTCGTGCAATTTGTAGTACCGGAGTTTGCTTGCATTCGATCAGTTAAAAAAACTTACCTTCATTCATGATGAGGATCGAACGTGAAAATTGATTATAGGCAACTGGAGGACGGTGTACTGCACGGAGATGATAAACGGAAAGTTCGGATGTACAATCAGGGCAACGAAGCGCCTTGGGGAAATCAGAGTAAAGTAAGCGAATCGTTCTGATTGGTTTCTTTTTTTTTTTTTTTTTAAAAAAAAAAGAGAGACGGTGACATGCATGATATACTTTGTTCGAATGCTAGTTTTATTCGGCAGCCCAAATATCAATTTAAATTTAAATTCACCGGTCTTTCGTGAATAAAATTTGGCGATGCTTTCTTGACAAGGCCTGGGTCTTTATGAAAAAAACAAGAAAGGTTGTGAATGGGTGAATGTCGGAAAGGAGATACGAGGTAATCGTTTTACACAAGTAAATACCGGTCAAAAGCTGATATAATTTTATCATCGTATGCAAATAATGAGTGGTCAAAATAAGGACTTTCACTGCAAGTCTGAGGGCTGTAGGGTAAGCACGAGAGAACCCGTTTCACAACCTGCGATGGTCTGGAGAGAAAGTACGAGCTTTGCGAATCAGGGAAGGGTCAATGATGGAACACGAATAGCACCACGAGTACAACTTACCCTCCGTTTCGTGCGTGTCTGATCGCGTACAGGTGTTTTTCCAACACTGCCTTGGCATAGATGTTATTGGCATAGGTGGAATCACGGGAAAATGACTGATTGAATGCGACTCGCTGAAAAATCTCGGGCGAATTTTCAAATTCAGCAAGAAATTCCTCAGAGGCATTGTCGTACACGGATAGAACCTCTGTCGTTAAGAAGTTGTATATCACGAAAAAGGTTGTGTGCGCGGTACTTTCATTGTGCTGGTGAAAATACAGAATGTTGGGTAGTGAATGGCGACCTCCCGTCATAAAAGAAATCGAGGAAAAAGATTGAGCATACTAACGCGTCCGGTCACGCAATCAACGCTTCCAAACTTTATGAGAAATCGTGACTCATCGATGAATTGCATTTTCCACATCACAAGCGACGCGAGTTGTGCAAATATTTGATAAAAGTGACGTAAGGCCAAACCACTACAATAGCAATTCATCCAAGTTAAGAATGTTAACATTGGTGAGGAAGATTGAGAAGGAGAATGTGCGCACCCGTCATCAGAGTTGTAGGCTTTCTTAAACAAATATGAAAGCATCCTTTGTTTGATACCACTTATGGGTGCGACAGCCTATGTTGAAAACGTGTTTATTCGATGCACAAAAAAAAAAAGAAAAGAAAAGAAAAGAAAGAGATCTTTGAAGACGACTAACCTCAATTGTCGGGTTAGGTTCGGCAGGTATACTACTATTCGGATGATGACTATTAGAATTTTGTCGTGGCTTAGGAGAGATGTTTGGGGACGGAACCTTGTTTTCCATCATGTCATCGAATGAGTCGCTTGAAAGGAAAGACGATGAATATGCATATTTTTCATCGTCCAATTCCATAATATCAGGAGGTGCATTCTTGTGATTAACTGGGCTAGTTACTATTTTTCGTTGAGCATTATATTGGAGGTCAAAATCACGATAACGAGCCAGCACGAGTTCATCGTCGTCATAACTAAGCCAACCAATATCTTGCACATCAATAAAGCGACCATCTTCCTACGAGGTTGAACGATGATGATGTTTAGGAGCTAAGAAAGAAAAAGAATGAAAGAGAAAATTATCAGTTCCTTACCTTGATATGGAGAATGCGTATGGTCTGGTTTTGAATCGACATGATGGAAAACAAATTTCCCGCGAGACTGACGCCCGAATGATATGACAAGTGGATGTATTCATTTTTGTAAGTGCGCGAGTCGCAAACCTGCGCGAAATCGAAGAAAGGAAGAGATGACGCCAATCGTAAAGAGCGTAAGCGTCAGGGTTAAAATGAATTCGTGTTTACCTTCCCTGTTGCTATCTCTACAAGGTAAAACGTGATGTCGTCGAAATTCGGAATGCAATTTAGTGAACAGGGATACAAACGGGCCTCTTCCGCCGAACAATTGGATGTTGAAGATGACGCAAGTATCATCTGAATAATTGATTGCGATGATCAATTGCTTTGTCGAAGAACGCACGGGAGGATGAGAACTATTCATAAAGATTTTTTTTTTTTTGATACTACATATTTTTGGTTCGTCGTGATCAAACAGAAATCCCTGCAGAGGACTTCGGACTGACCGGAGGTGATACGCTGTTCATATTTCGGGGAAAAAAATTTGTCAAAAGTGTTCGAACGACGTTAAGAAACAAAGAAGAATGGTTTCACGTGGAATGAGGTATTATTAGTATGTTTCAAGGATATGCATTGTCCGAGTTAACCAAGGCATTAGCGTCCAGAGAAGTCTCAAGGTAAGTGTACTCGAAGTAGAAAAGCTGAACAGAATTTAGATCTCGGGAAAAGCATATCATATACTAAAAATTGAATGCATTGAGAAAGGTGAGATGACGCGTGGAGTGTGAGAGTGAGGAGGACCAGTTTGAAATTTCGCAACGCACATTGCCATCTGGTGTAAACCTTTTGAAAAACGAATTGGGAATGGTCACATTGAAAATGGTTTCATTAGGGTAAAAGTAAGTGTAAAACTTTCGCCTAGTGAAAAGATGTGTATTCGTGTTGGGAGGTTGAATTTCTTTGTTCAGTAGAGCAATGTTCAAGTTGTTGCGCTTGTTCGTTTGCATGTTTGTAAGTTAACTTTTTTAGGTCGTTTTCAAAAAAAAAAAAAAGGAAAGGAAAGTTTCCAAAAAGCGAATTCCTACAAAAATGACGAACGAAATTGAACCAAGGAATTTCTGAAGATAATCAGTTAGATCAAAATTCCGAGGGTTTCAAGCGTGTCCAAGTTTTGGGCGAGCTTGGACATTCAACAGATTGCGAATCTCCAAATTTAAAAAACAATCGACCAATGATATTTACTTTTGAGATTTATAAATATTCACGCGTTCAAAAAGTGGCACGCAGTACTTTATATAGTCGACGAACGGGTTACTCCTTTATTTTCATTTCGTGTGATCGGGAAAAAAAGAATTAGCAGAAAAATTTCACGTATCCTTTGTCTGGCTTACGAGAACTCCAAGATTATCAACAAGGATGAAAAGATGTCCGAAGAAGTTGGCACTACAAATTTTAAGATTTTCAGGCGTCACTTTTCGTACACGGTGATCCGGCTTATGAAATATAACAGTATGCATGGATTTGATATGCTAGTCTCAATTTCCCAATTCAATTACATTTTACAAGTTTTAATAAATACAGTGATCCGATAAAATAGTAGTGGAAATTATTAACAAACCCTTCGGAAATTTTACCCAAATAGTTTCCCGAAATCCAAAAATCCAATTAGGAGGTCATTTGGTGCAGGCGGGCGTATTAATTTTGATGGGCGTACGTAGTGCTTGGTGACAATCCAGTCACTCACTACACAAATATGTCTTACGTCGTAGCCGATTAGATATGTATAAAGTGATATCACGGTACATTAGATCAAGAAGAATCTTTGCTAAAACTCTGGACCGATTCATTTCATTCCCTTCGAATTTCCCTTGAAAAGTCTCTTAATTGAGACCTCTCACCAGCAAACCACCAATATCATATAAATTTAATTTTTCCTAAAATGCACGATGCTTTCAAGGTTTCCGTTGCATTAGATAAATTGCCGCAAAAGATCGAGTCCATCTTCGCTTATGGTTGGTGTTGGAAAAAAAAAAATAGAGTCGATGCTCCATATTTTCGCACGAGACTTATTTTTTGTTCCCCAAACCATACAGGTCAAAAGTTGTTAATAGGCACCAGTGCTGGGGCCCTGCTAGTGTACGAAGTTAAAGAGCCTCTGGGTATATATTCCGCTCCTGTCCATGCAATTGTGATCTAAAATTCAAATGACTGGTCCACGAATGTCAACCGTTTCTTTTCTCTCTTCCTCCTCCTCTTTTTTTTTTTTCTTATTTTAGAAGACGAGCCGTTATCTGTTAACCTGGTGGATACTCACAAAACTTTCTCGAAAAGGCCGATCGAACAATTGGACATAATCAAGGAAATTGGCGTCCTGGTTTCACTTTCAGGTACTCTTCTTAAAGCTAAATGAATGAATTCGTGAAAAGAATCATATTTCAATATTTGTTGATCCACGACCTTATCGTGTTAAGATGGCTACGTGAACATCTTCGATCTGAACACTCTTGAATTGCAAAGCCAATTAGCGAAGACGCGTGGCGCTAACTTATTCGCCATTAACACTCAAATCGTGATAAGCGATGACGGAATCCCAAGGATAGTGACACGTCTGGCGGTCGCTGTGAGAAGAAAATTGCTCGTACTCACATGGAAAGACACAGAATTTACCGACACAAAAGTAATTTGGAATTTTTTTTTATAGTTTTGATTTTCTGATTTGCGATATGGCCGTGTGGATTCATGTGTTTTCATGATAATTATTCAGGAACTTTTGCCACCAGATAAGATTCGAACAATGGCTTGGGTCAGCTCCGACAAAGTTTGTCTCGGATTGGCTACCGAGTACATACTGATGGACACCGGTACCGGTGCGTTCACTGCACTGTTTGCCCCGTCCAGCGCGCCTAGCGGCGCGGCTTTCAATTATATGGGCATGATCGGTACAAAAGTTAGTAAACCGATGGTGACAAAGTTGCCCAATGATGAAATTCTCCTGGCCAAAGATAGTGGGTATCTTGTCACTCTTAATTTTCATGGTTGAGTCCATTGATTCTTTGACTTCTCTTCTGATCTCCTTCTCGTTTTGTAGGTGTCAGCATCTTTGTGGGACTCGATGGCAATCCTACACGTAGGGCAGGAATAGACTGGTCTGCTACACCTGAAGAGATAGGTAAGAGATGGGTACAAGTGGCTCTTATTAGCATGGTGAACTCTCGATATAGTGAATCCTTAAAAATTCATCGCAAATTTAGTAACTTTTACTATTTCAAAAGACACTTGCATTAAGATTTGACCGAATCACACGGTTTTGATTTTTTTTTTTTCCCTCATCTTTTATTGACGCAATATTCTAGGGTATTCATATCCGTATCTTATTGCGATACTGCCGAAACATGTGGAGGTCAGGAACATTATGACGCAAACTCTGGTCCAAACCATTGAACTACCCCAAGCAAGATTTATTAATCAAGGAAAATATTTGTATGTTGCTAGCTATAACAGTGTTTGGAGGTTCATCTCCATAAATTTTGAGAAGCAGGTAAAAAGAAAAGAAAAACATTTCGTGAAAGTGTTGATAAAAAATTTTTTTTGTGCTCGATATGCATATGCATAGAAGTGATTTTTATTTTTTCTTTTTTTGGGGGGATCACTAATATTCATTGCAGCTCATTTTCTTATTGATTGGGGTTGACACACTAGATTGATCAATTGATCGAGCAACTTGAATATGAGGAAGCCATAAGCTTGACCGAACAAATCGAACCGATCCTACTTGTTGACAAGGTAAAGAAAGATCTAATCAACTCGCGCGCGTGTGTATGTTTGTATATTAATCCATCTGCGTATGAAGGAGGCAAAGCTCCGGCAAATAAAGAAGCTTTACGCGTACTACCTATTTCGGAATCACGAGTTCGACAAGGCGATCACTATTTTCCAGAATTTAGAGGCAGACCCTGCAGATGTTGTCTCATTGTATCCTACTTCAATATCGGGATCACTTCACGTGGACCATGATGAAACTCATAAAAATGTGAACGATGACGAAGAGAATGGTTCTACCGCGGACCCAGATGAAAAACACCAGCTTGAGAATGAGAAGGTGGTTAAGGAAACTGAACAAAAAACCGTCCTTGGTATGTCAGAATGTACTCTTTTCGCGTAAACAGCATGAGGAAAATCTTTTATTAATAAGTTCGCATTGCTTTTTGTTAATGGTTTCAGAAGGAAAATTGTTGGAAGATGCAATTTCAGCGTTGATAAGATTTTTAACAGACAGAAGACAAAAAATCTCAAAGGTTTTGCATAAACATCAACCGTCAACGCCACCGGGGTCTCCTAACGGGTCAAATAATGTCAACGGGAATTTCGATCACATACTGGAAGCCGCTGAATTGGTGGATACGACCCTGTTAAAGTCGTATATGGTCATAAATGATGCTTTGGTGGGCCCACTTCTTCGGGTGCCAAACCATTGTAATGTCGAAGAAAGCGAGGGTCTCTTGTTAGAGCGCAAGGTACATCGCAGTTTCTTTTATTTTTGCCCCATCTATTTAGTTGCTTACTCATAAATTCAATTTAACACTTTCATTTGATCTTTCGTCTAAAAACTGGTTCTAGAAATACAGGGAGTTGGTTGACTTGTATAAAGGAAAAGGTCTGCACCGTAAATCCCTAGAACTATTAAAGAAGTAAGTCAACCACAGGAATATTTATCCAAAAATTGTTACTGATGATTTTAATTCCATCTGACTCTGCAGGCTTGGTCAATCTGAAGGACCCATGGCCGGAACCTTTCATACCGTTCTATACCTACAAAGGCTTGGCGTAGAACATTTCGATTTGATATTAGAATATGCGAAATGGGTCATAGAAATCGACCCGGAGAAGGGACTGGATGTAATTATCGGATGTCTCATCGTAAATATTACTCGGATCAACAAAGCTTCTCACGCTTCTTTTTTCCTCAGATTTTTATAGATGATCTTCACGAGGTCGAAAGTCTACCACGTGAGAAAGTACAGAGCTTTCTCGAGGAATTTTCGTACGATCTCTGCATAACATACTTGGAGCACATTATATTCGAACTTGAAGATCCAACTGCGAATTACCACAACAAATTGATCACCACTTATTTGAATAAAATTATGCAATTGTCATCACAAGTTCCACCCGAAAATTCAGACGAAAATGAGAGAAGTAGGTCGTTCGCTCCTCATTCCGCATACTTTTTATCCTACATTAACTGATCGTCAAATAATAAAGATCTCGTGTTGGAGTCAGTTGACGTTACGACCAAGAAGTTATTGAAGTTCCTGGAAGAATCAACTCACTACAAGGCCGAAAAAATCCTGGGACATTTACCTCTAGACGGTAATTATGGTTATCTACCATGATTTGGTTGGAATTCTTCTTAATATCCTTTCCGATCGCTCTTCGTCATAGACTTTTACGAAGCTCGAGCGATATTGCTTAGTCGTCTTGGCCAACACGACCAAGCCTTGAACATCTACGTGCACAAATTGAAAAATGAGAAAATGGCAGAAGAGTGTGTATCAATCTCGATAAGACTCAAAGGTGTTCCGATCTGAATTAATAATTTATTTGACACTTAAAGGTACTGTTTGAAGAACTATAGCGAATCCGGCGACAGTTCGAAGAATGTGTTTTTATCACTATTGCGAGTTTATTTACGGCCAATGAATGGCGAAGAAGTTATGATCGAACCAGCTCTGCGACTTTTATCGCGTCATGGATCACATATGAATGCATCTGCGGTTGGTTCTGATTCTTCTTTTTTTTTTTTTTTGTTCCCGAGAGACACCTTTTGAATTCCTACCAAATATTCCATATAGGCGTTAAACATGCTTCCTCCCTCGACAAAAGTCTCTCAACTGTACTCTTTCTTTGAAAAATATATTCGAGAGAGTAATAGAAACAGGAATATGAACATGATTGTAAAAAACTTACTCAGGGCTAATCAACATCAGGTAAAGTGTATCTCATTCTCATTAACTCGGGCATGATGGATGACGGATTTTTTTTTCTTATTTTTTTAGGCCGAAGAGCAATTATTATTCTATCGATCACGGAGGGTCAAAATAGATGAGGATCGAATGTGTCCTCAATGTAACCGACGAATAGGGCCCAGGTAAAAATCCGTCGCCTTCTTCATTTTATGAAAAAAAAATTTTTTTCCTCTTTATTCGGTCCTCTCTGACATGAATAAATTTTTCATTTTCATTTAGTGTGTTTGCTGTTTTTCCAAATGGGGTGGTTGTGCATTACCATTGCAAAGAAAAGGTAAGAAATTCCTTCTTACGTCAACAATTTTTTTTTTTAAAAAAAAAATTAATAATTATATACTCTGTTACTCGTTCAGTACTCACAAGCACATGATACAGCAATATGAAATTAATAGCACCAAACGTTTGGGATCAATTATGCTTCTGATAACCGTCAAATATATTATGCATTTTCTTTAATTTCAAGATTTTATTTATTTAAAGGACTGCAGTAATGTGGTCGAATTTCGAATAGAAACATCACACATTTACTATTGTAAATAATCAGTATTTTAATAAGTTGACAATATGGTACAATAAGCAATAAATATATTCCAACATTAAAAAATATATATACAAGGAACCTTTCATAAATACATCCTCTTTAAATGCACTCTTTATTGTGGTCGCAGGTTTGGGCACCCATATATTAAAATTAGTTTACTAAATGTAACTCACATGACTATTGGCTGGTTGACTAGAATTATTTAGTTAGGCAGAATTGGAATTGATTTTTGGAACAAATTAAGTTAAATTAATTATTAAACAAAATTAAAAGGAATTAGTTTTTTGAACAAAATTAACTTTTTTTTTTAAATGCATATTCTCATAATAAATTTTTTATGATTTCTTTTTTTTTTTTTTTTTAAACCACAACTAGTATTAGATACAAGCTTTATTTAAGAATTAACTTAATTTGATGGATAATTAAATTCTACAGCAGTTATATCAATTATCTCATATAAACTATATATTTCTATATTCATGTAGATTAATAATAACCTATCATGGATTACTATAGATGAATCTGCTACCACTCTGTGAATAGGGTAGATCCAATTAGAAGCTAAATGGTTAAATACACAGTCATCAATGGCGAAACAGGCTAATTTAGTAGTGAGCTTTTATAAATTTTTATATTATATTCACTAAACTAGGCTGTATTGTATATACTCGACAAGATTTAATTCACCCTCCAATACTCTCAGATATTATTTACTCAGATCTCGAAAGGAGATACTTTTCTTTTTTATCATCACCTGTGGCATTGGATTAGTTCCATGTAACTGATTTTCATTTAAGTAGTTATCAGATTGAAATATCTGAAGCTAGGAGAACATGGGTCCTAAAGGCTACTAGGACAGGAGTCTTTTGGAATATTTTTATGGTAGGTTAACCAGAAATCTTTCTTCATATAATTCTTCTGGTAATACAACTATAGGTTTCAGCTCCTGATTGATAGAAGATCAGAAGTCATATCTTCATGTAGCCTAACCTAATTAGAACTTGTTCCAGATAATTGGGTATGACTTTCATAAAATAATTGATAAAACTTAATCAGAAGGATAATTTTTGATTTTGGTCCTTAAATAATATTAAACTACAAATTTTGTGATTATGATCTGGGAGCACTATCACTGTGCTATTGATCCATAGGTCATTTTTTATAATTTCTTGTTTTGTAAGATTTAAAATAATATGTAAAAAAATATAAAATATCAGTTACTTGAAATTCGAATCTAAAGAAACATACTATTAAAAAATTAAAATCAAAATACTATATATACTATAGCTATAATCTTTATAGATGATACAACATGGATAGCACAAATATAAAAAGAATTTTAAAAATTGCAAAAATCTTTTACAAAGTCTATAATTATCAAATTAATAGCAATAAGTCAATTTTAATAATTATTAATAATTTTAACTGTTATTTATAAGAAATTCAAATTGATATTGAAAAGAAAGTAGTTAAAGAACTTAATAAAATTAAACAAGTAATATTTTTAAAAATCTGAATAAACAATTAAAAGTTTACAATAGAACTTAAGAAATAAGGATTTAAAAAAGTTAACATAGTAATTAGAATCCTTAAAAATAAATAAATAATAGATAAATAAACTTTTGATATTCTAAACAAAGTACTAATATTTAAAATTGAGTTTAAAATATAATACAATATATTGTTTTAAAAAATATATAATATCTTGATAGCAATATATAAAAACTTTTCAAAAATGAAAATATATTATATAAATTTATATTTAATATTATATTTTATTATTTAAAGATTTACAATTTAAAAAATATCTAAATACTATAATGAAAAAATCCAATATCAAAATTATACAATAGATTAAATAATTATAGACTAACAGAAATTATAATAATTATCAAATTTAAATAAGTACAAATTAAAAATTGAAAACTACTAATATACTTATTTTATTTTATTTTTTTTTTTTTTTTTTAACCCGCAATCATGCCACAATGGCATGTCTTTATTGAAAAATTGAAAATAAATTTACAA